GTAGGACATATATATTATATTTAAATCTGTTGTTTAACGACTCTCTGCAGAATTTTTACTCATATGGAGACGCCACCACTTTGTAAACATTTCGACCTATACTCGGCACTCAGGGCAAATAAACAGTGAGGGATCCTTTCGTGCCAGCACTTTCTGCGACACGGGTCTTTCGGTTTATACGTTTACATAGGAAGAACAATCCCTCAGTGGTATTCGAACCCGCAATGAAACGACTAACGCCTTAATCCGCGACTCTAAAGCACGCGCTTTTAAATCAGAGAAGCACAGAAAGAATATTAAGAAACGCAGCACAGTTAAGGTGCGCAATGGAAATATCAATTAAATTTTGTATTATTTAAAAATGTATTCGTAATCGGGATGGCGATTATTTTTAGTACATTATTTATATCAGATAATTGTAATTATGATTAATAAGCACATATCGAGGACGATTATATTTTATATTTAGACTAGTCACGTGATGCGACAGTCACGCGATTTTAGCACATTGACTTGAAGTATAGATAGTTTTCGATAGGCCTGAATTTAGCGAAAGTTACCTCCCGTTGGCCGCCATATTGGAGGTCGACTCAGTGATTTTCCCTCTTTGTCTTACCAAGTTTAAGAAAATATAGCAGAAATATTTGGTGGAAAATCTTTATCAAATAATTTTTTTCAAATAAAGGAGGCTTTCAAAAATTTATATACTTCAGAAAAATAATGATTTCTCATTCAAAATAGCAAATATAAAAATTTTAAATTGGTTGAACAATGAAGGAATATGAGCATTTGGACCTCCAGTATGGCGGCGAACGGGAAGTAACTCTTGGTCAATCGAAAACTATCTATTGATGTACATATAAATGTCACTAGTGCAAGGGCATAACCCAAGATAAATTTCCAAGTTTAGTATATAAATATTTTCAACACGCATTATAGTTTCTAAAAAGTGCTGCGATCCTGTCTAAATTCTGCAATTTCATAGTTAAAATTATACTTGTATGACCGAATGCTATATTTTTTGCTGGTCAGCGGCATGAAATATTGATATAATTAAATTGTTTTTAAGATTTCATCAGGATCGCAGCACTTTTCAGATACCTTAATAGTTCTATAGTTGAAATATAAAAGCTTACTTTGATCCATACAGTGTATGCCCTTGCACTAGATCGATTTATTAAGACCCCCCACGTTACACCCCAATGTACTTGCATACAAATATACGGCAGTGTCAATTAAATACGTAATGTACAGAAAATATATTAAGAAAATAGTGAAGAAGACATTAAATTCAAGTTATTGCCCCATAGAATATCTATAAATAATATTTTATTTAATTAGAGAATGCATATTTTGTTGAGAAAATATTACTTGATCTGTCTCTCACTGCATACAAACTACGTCACGTTGTAAGAAATGACGTCATATTGACAAGGGTATTGCGATCTGTGACCTGTTTATAACTTGTTATGTGGGATTTAACTAACGACAAAACAACACGCTGTAGTAAGTTTTTATGTAGTTTGATGATTTCTTACTGGTTAAATTAGCAGATAAATTCATTTTGTGGTATTTTAAAGAAATTTTGTATGACGTATATTGTGTATGATGTCATAGTCAAGTTTTCCCGTACAAATTAGGCTCCGCCTCCTTTTTGTAACCTTAACTGTGCTGCGAAGTGATTGCTACCACAAGGAGAAGATTAAAAAGGGAAAGGCAGTTAAGGTACGAGTCTGGAGTCCGCTTGAAGCTCTCCTACCGATGGCCGTTCTATCATATAAAGTGTTGTGATCATAAATAATTACGTTTGGGTTGTGATGCTATATATGCCATTGCAATTGAATATTGAAATTCACAACTGACACCAATAGTTAACAATATATGTTCCATTTACTGCGACTTATCATTGATAGGTCGCGTCACAGCATACTTTTGTGGTATGCTTTATTTGCATACTAGGTTAATATTTTGAAAGGTTACGAATTTCAGCATTGTGTGAAGAACATTCATCAACCTTTGCTTCGTGCATTTACGATATAATAGTATAATTTTGGCTTTATCATATTTTTATTTAATAGTTGATATGATTATAAATAATGATGGTTTCCAATTACCTTAAGACCTGGCTCATCTTTGTGCACATGAATAAAAGTCAGCCAATAGAAATTTAAGGAGAGTCAAATCTTGCATGACGTACGCTTATTCTTAATAGGGATATATAAATAAAAATCGGTATATAGAAAAAATGATATACATGTAACCATCTGGCTAACAATAGAAAGTAAATTTGCAGACAATTTTACTGCAATATTTGGCTACTTATAACATGATTCATTGTACCATAGTTAGCTGTGTTTTCCTTTTATTAAAAGTGGGTACACAACCGACACTTTTCTATAAGCCACGCCTACAAACTCGGGATAACATTGATCAAATGATCATCTGTATCAAATGAAAAAAAAAATTTCCTTCTTCATAACAAAATTATTCGGAAAGTGCCCATTTTCGAACACCAAATAAATGTTCGCATTCAATATCATTTGTTGTTTGAGATAAGCTAATGCCGTTGATTGAATCCTTCGAAAAGACTTTATATTTCAATTTTCTATTCCATCTGTTCATGATACCCAACATTTATTGGTTTCTTTAACGTCTGCATTTAAAGATTTTTTGTTTGGTTAGTTTGTTTAACATACCTTCGGAAAAGTTTCATTCATATCGAGACTCCTACACCAGGGAGCAGAGAGCTGCATATTAAGACTTGTACTTGCGACTTCGGTCTTTACTGATACGCAGTTGTGGATCCTTTTTCGTGCCAACTCCTTCTTCGGTTTTACGGTCCCATCCGAAGGACCGGTTTCCACGTCCAATGGTTGGACTTAGGATCAACACCTCTATCTCACCTCGCTATTCTTGAACATACTGTTGGCGCCCACATGGTGATAACAGAAATAGTCTATGATATTGAGATCAAGATTCATGGTCTAAGACCCTAGAAATCGTTTATGCAAAAAGTGATTTTGTTCAAACAGTAGTTTTTCTCTCCCATTGTAGAAATGATACATGCTTTCAGAAAAACAGTAAAAGTAAAGAATAAATTTGCGCTGAACATATTGAAAGATATACCGTATAATTAGAATTTTTAACAATGAACTAATTTTGGCATTATTAGCGAGGGTGCAGAGATCGTTAAAATTGAATATCACCAGAAATTAATTGCGTTCTATTTGTAATAGCTTTAATGTGCATTTTAAAATCGCTAAAATAACATCTGGCTAAATATAAATTACCAAACTTTAAGGACAAATCGCTAAATTTGCGTCTCGCTAAAATTTCCAATTATAGGGTGTACGATTTTTTTTCAAACAAGAAAAAATTAAATAAACAAGGGAATTATTGAAAAAATAAAAAGAACTACTGGTTAGGGGTTATGTAATTGATCTTTTGTATATATGAATTTAAATCAATATTTTTTTTCTCGAAAATCCTATGACATAGGGTGATGGAAAAACCTTAATGTAAAGTAGACAATTAACAAAGGTACGGAACCACGGTTTGAACGGTCTCATTCAAAAGAACGATCTCCACGTCCCATGTTCAGATTCAAACTTTGACGCCTGTTCCAAGATCCAATCTTAACAGTTCAATTCACTGTAAAGAACAGGTAAAATTAATGCAAAGCAAATCGGTCGCAATCAAATTGAACATTTCAAAAAGCACTTAAATTTACAATTACAAAAGTATCCAGTGCAAGGAAAGTACAAGATATTCAGAGCTGAAGTAGTGATCATTTTTATATGAATTCATCGATGTAATAAAGTCAATAATAAATTATAAGAATTTATTGTCATTAAAATAAAGACGTAGGCCTCTCAAGATGAACCGCGTGCTGATACATGTACAATGAACCATGTATCTTTGTCACGTGATAATGCCTATGTTTCTGCAGAGTAGGCTATGCTGCAAGGCGCGGTGCAAAATGTACAAAAAATTATCCGTTGGTCACTCGCAGCTGTACCATTTTAAAAACAATTTTACTCGTTTAACAACGTTTCAATTTTTGTTCATCATGCACTTTCAACACATCATTATTATCCGACAATTCATGACGATTTCCTTTCATTATCTTACACACTCCCAGGCTTTGTAGTACTTATTGTAAAAATAATCTTTTTATTTCACAATAAAGGATAATAGAATTGAAACATAATAAAACAATAAATGCTTAATTTTAAGCAAGTTTCAAAAATATTTTTCTCATGATTTTATACATTTAGAATTATTTTACGGAACTAATAAAAACCAGAAGTCTCTGTCTAGACTGATGCTCAACTGGTCTGTACTTATAACAAAGGAAAAGAAAAGTAGCTTGGAACTTGAAACTTTACAACAGCAATAAATAGAAGAATTATCCTTGATTAAGTCTCTTTTTGTGGGAAGATACTGCAATAAGACTACAACTGTTGGAGTAGCTTTTATAATAAAACTTGAGAGTATTTCCAATTTAAGTTACCATGGCAACATCATTCATCAAAATAAAAACAGACAGACGGGCGGCCGGACGCATAGCTATCGCCAAAGCTCTTCAGGTTTCTGACCAGTAGAACTACCTATAACGTCTCATATCCGATTTACACTTTTAAACACAGCCTCAAATAGATCGACCCTTGCTGCGATCGAGAATAAGCCTTAAACTCCTTGAATAAAGGTACAGTAACGATTTAGAAAACACATTAGCTTTTAAAATTTCAGTAAATTTGTAGCGATAATGCATGACAAACAGACAATCATGAATGTTAGTTTCCGCAAGTAGGTAATTTGACTGGCATGAAGTTTATCGACTTTTAAAAATAGCATACTTAACATTTCAATGGTACTTCAAATAATATTTCACAAAGCTGTCAAGATGTCAATTCTTTTTCTTGTATTATTTTTGATCAGAGGGATATGACTATGAAAAGAGCTGCAAAACATATTAGATAAAAAAATCACATTTTTTAAAGACAAAAAAGGTATTAAATTACCCCAAAGTTCAAATGGATTGACAGTTCCCTAAGGTGGAAAATGCAGGGATTTGCTTCCTTGGTTTGCATTCTTCAACTCTATATACTACATGTTGGAAGACCTTACCAATTAACTTCAATGTATAAGGAAACTATTTTAGGACGAGATTCCTTGTTTGATGGCTCGACACCAAAAAACACTCAGTACATTTTGACAAATATGGAGGAAACTACTCGTTCTTCGTGTGTTATATTTTGTTTAATTTACTCGTCCGAGTGTGCGAGCATTTTGTATGATGAGGAGCTGCGATCGTGTCGACTTCTTTTAACTCACCTCAGCTTAAATTTAACAAACGTTCCTACTCACAACACACCTAATGACCAGTCGCAATACTGGGCAAGACTTAAAGGTATTTTCTTTTCTGTATATTAAAGGGTATAACCGCAAAGCTGTTTTATGTTTTTCCTTGTATTTTTTTAAGAGAAAAAACTAATGTTATAGCTTATGTTTATTTTATTCATCTTAATTAATTAATGAGTAAGAGTTTAATAATATACCAAGGACCTTTATACTAATGGGATCGGCAACTCCTTCAGCGCCATGTTTATGAAAAAAAACAAAACAAATGTAACGCTCCAACACTTCAAAGTTATGAAATTACTTTTATTTCCAGGAACAAGCCTGTTCAGATTAATGTTTTCTATTTTGACTTGTCTGTACATGTAGTAGTGTTTCTAAATACGTTTTTTAAGAATACATTACAATTTAATTTTAATATAAATCAAACAAACACGAAAATTTACGAATTTTCGGTAATATGGCCGATCAAGGACAATTGCTGATTTTGAATTAAACGTAATTATAACTTAAAAAGTACCAGTATAAAAACAGTGCAACACAAACAGTATAAATGACAGATTTTGAATAGATGAATTAAGATTTTTGTTTTGAAATATTTGATAGCATTTGATATATGTCAAATTAAAATTGACTGACGAAATCTCGCTACTTACGAGAATTACCTATCCTATAGGTGTAAAGGTTCTTAATTATACTGATGTTGATCTAAAGATATATGTCATCTTTTAGAATTTTTATTGTTTTAATCATGAAAGTAGCCTTTGTTAGCAATTTGTTTTTAAATTGTGATTTATTAAGGTTTGTAAATCAACCAAGGCAATTTTTTTGTAACTTTAGTCTGCGAGGATGGATGGTATCCCTTTGCGAGTCACTGTTATTTCTTCTATGAAACAAAAGTAACTTTTGATGAAGCCTTGGTGAGTATCTTGTTACACGCGCAGCTTCCCAAAATATATCACTTTTATTTATATTCACTTTTATATATTCACTTGAGCTTTCGGCTCAGGTGAGCTAATAGAAATGTATATAATATTCATATAATAGTGCAATAGTGGGATTTTTTTATATCGATCAAATAAAATATAAATGCATGTACCAAGACACATATAAAGGATGAAAAATAAACGTTGGTTGCTATTTTGAATAGTTATTCCAAGAAAAAAATCATTTATTATGAAAGACCCTTGTGATTCTGATAGTATATTTTAAGGGCACAATATTTTAATAATTACATGTATATTTTAAGGCTACAATAAAATAACAGATACATGTATATGTAACCTGATCAACATTTCATAAAGGCCATGAGATTATTCAAAATTACAACAACGTTTGGGTAGGAACAGTGCTTTTTCTCAAGAAATTTTCAAATTTTAATATAAACACTGAATCTTGCCTTGGAATATTCTTAGAATAAAACCCAGAAGTCTCTGTCGAGACTGAAGCTCTACTGTTTGTACTTATGGCAAAGGAAGAGAAAAGTACTCCAGCAGTTGGAAATTGAAACTTTACAACAGCAATAAATAGAATAATGATCCTTGATTATAAGTCTCTTTATGTTCTTAGTGTAGTCTACTTGCATGCCACATTATATTATAATCAGACTAAAATTGTATTTGGAGTAGCATTTTGAGAGTATTTAACAGAAATTTCTATTTGCAATAATGTTCATCGAAGTCATAAACCGAGATAAAGAATTGTGTATCTTAGTGTAGTCTACTTGTTAGGCAAGTTATATTAAAATCAGACTAAAACTGTAGTAGGAGTGGCATTTTGAAAGAATTTCACAGAAATTTCTATTTTTAGTAACAACGGCAACACCATTCATCAAAATCAAAAACCGATACAAAGAATTATGTACCTCAGTGTAGTCTACTTGTGTACCTAGTTATATTGAAATCAGACAAAACTGTAGGTGACGTAGGATTTTGAAAGAATTTCACAGAAATTTCTATTTTTAGTAGCAACGGCAACACAGTTCATCGAAATCAAAAACCAATAAAGAGAATTAGATATCTTAGTATAGTCTAATTATGTTTCAAGTTATATTGAAATCAGACCATATCTGTAGAAGGAGTAGCATTTTGAAAGAATTTCACAGAAATTTCTATTTTTAGTAACAATGGCAACACCTTTCATCGAAATCAGAATTAGGTATCTTAGTGTAGTCTAATTATGTGCCAAGTGATAATTAAATCAGATCAAAACTAAAGGAGGAGTAGCATTTTGAAAGAATTTCACAGGAATTTCTATTTTTAACCACGGCAACACCGTTTATCGAAATCAAAAACCGATACACAGAATTATGTATCTTAGTGTAGTCTACTTGTGTGCCAAGTTATATTGAAATCAGACCTAAACTGTAGGAGTAGTAGCATTTTAAAAGAATTTCACAGAAATTTCTGTTTTTATTAGCAACGGCAACACCGTTCATCGAAATCAAAAACCGATATACAGAATTAGGTATCTTAGTGTAGTCTACTTGTATGCCAAGTTATATTGAAATCAGACCAAAACTGTAGGAGGAGTAGCATTTTGAAAGAATTTCACAGAAATTTCTATTTTTAGTAACCACGGCAACACCGTTCATCGAAATCAAAAACCAATATACAGAATTATGTATCTTAGTGTAGTCTACTTGTGTGCCAAGTTATATTGAAATCAGTCAAAACTGTAGGAGGAGTAGCATTTTGAAAGAATTTCACAGAAATTTCTGTTTTTAGTAACCACGGCCACACCGTTCATAAATCAAAAACTGATACACAGAATTAGGTACCTTAGTGTAGTCTACTTGTGTGCCAAGTTATATTGAAATCAGACCAAAACTGTAGGAGGAGTAGCATTTTGAGAGAATTTCACCGAAATTTCTATTTTTAGTAACCATAGCAACACCGTTCATCGAAATCAATAACCGATACACAGAATTATGTATCTTAGTAAAGTCTACTTGTGTGCCAAGTTATATTGAAATCAGACCAAAACTGTAGGAGGAGTAGCATTTTGAAAAATTGTTTACAGACAGACAGACGGACGGACGCCGGACGCATTACTATCGCATAAGCTCTTCTGGTCTCTGACCAGTAGAGCTAAAAATACGATTACATAATCTCATTATGAAATGTCTACTGATATTTGGGTTTTTTCCAATTTGAATTGTAGATTTTTTGCAGAGAGAAAGAATCTTATTTATTGGAATTACAATCATCTCTTGAGATTAGCTGGATCGTAGATTCATTTCTTCTTCCTGTCAGTGGTGGTAAGAGACTTTAAATGTTTTTGACAATTGAAAAATAAAATACTTTTAAAGAGTCAATACGATATCCACTGTACTTCTGCAATGTTTACGTACTGGTCAAAATTGACAGCTTACCATTGGGAAAACGTGGCGTCTCTATACATGAAAAATTCTCGAGAGGAATGTTAAACAACAAAGAAGCAAATGGATACGTGAAAGAAATTATCTTATTATTGGTGCTCATCTGTTCGTGATTGCATTTTCGGAAATATTTCATTATTTTCAAATTATATAATACCTTACGAACGGTTTTGAAAAGGGTAGGAATAAAACAGATATTTTGATAAACTGGTTTAGTTTCTATACAAATTTAACGCTGTATTTTTCTAAGATATGAAAGTGATATAAGGAATTGAAATTCATTTTTTCCGAATCACAGGAATTCCATTAGTAAGAATACACAATAGTTTCTCATTTGACCTCCTAATTGCTAATTATGACATCATTAACTTTTCCCGTATTTTCTGAAAAAGTTGCAAAAGACACAAATATGCAGTGGCATTTTCTTTCAGAAAACGTACTCTGCCTGCATCGCCTATCAAGACCTTGAAATAGGTGATTTTACAAAGCAGATTACATAATGTATCCAAAAATTGAAGTGGGCGATGGTGGCAGACACTATTTTCTAAAGGAAAATTAGCACTGAAATGAGAAATGAAATGAGAGACATTTTGAGGCTTTCTGCATTAAACTTAAAATTGTACCAAATTGATGACGTCATATTTCCATAATGAGCCCCTTCCTGCCATATTCTTTAATGATTTATAATATTCATCTACTCAACTCTTGTTAAAACCAATTTCACAACTTTTTAAGAACATTAAATTTTTAAGGCATAATGAATCCCAAACTATACCTTCTTTTTGTGACCAATATCCACGACCACATTAATTTTTAAAACGTTTGTTTTCTAGTTGATGAACAGTGTCCTGAATTCTACAGCTGTTCCATGTGGACGGGGGCTACAGACTTCAACACCACGACTAAATTTATCTGGACACACAGTGATACGGACATGGTTTTCCCGGAATGGGGCTCAGGCCAACCCAATAACGCAGGAGGAGACCAGCACTGTATCTCCCTTATGCGTGATAGTAAAGCAAACGATGTGTCTTGTGTTTTACGCTATCAGGTCATCTGTGAAAGGGAGTAAGATTCAAATAAAATATTCCTAGTGGGTCCAACGTGCTCTTTACTCTGACACAGATTCAGACGACCTTCAAGGCCCATGGCCTCTTGTTTTCACTACGATTCAAAAATGGCTTCCGAGTTATTATAACCGTGAAACATATGGAGATTACGAACAGTATTTAAGATTAAAAGTCCATAAAACATTACAAACAAGTGACTGTAAGAAGAAGCATTTTGAGATTGTTAGCGGACAAACGTATACCTTAATATCACATTTATATAAGCTCTGACAAGTAGAGCAAAAACCGTATGCGATAAAAAAGGAAAACATATACAAACAGTTTTATAATTTCCATAACCAATGTTAAAGTATATCATGTTTTTTATAATTGTCTTTAAACAGGGTCATTAAGAGGAGAAAATTCTGTTTCAAACGATCAGATGGAAACTTCTCGTGTGTTTAGGAAACATTTTTGGCACCTTGAAGTAACCGTTTTTGATTGCTTGCTTTATGGAAAATCTGTTCACAAATTAGAACTTTATTTTTTCTCTCTTTCGAAATCGCTTTTGCATTTTCTTTAAATAATTGGTATGCATATGGTACTTTAATCAATCTACATGATTGCTGAGAAAAATATCAAATCCACCTTTTAACCATTAGCTGATCAAACAATCACTGTATACCGAAATCGAAATCAGGTCTTCGTACACAGAAGAAACATTGTATATAGCGCCTTTAATCAGAACACTGACACTAGAATGTCAATAATAATTCATGTTTACACATCTTCATTTAGTGGATGAGATACATGTATAATTCTAGGTTTGTTTCTATTTAAATTGTTTGAATGGCTTATTCATATTGATCCCAGTATCGAGAACGGTAGAGGTGTTTTTGAGAAAAGGTTTTGAATATGCAATTAAAAATTCTCTTTCTCTCCCGCTTTCGCGGTCGTCTGTCAATCTATCCGTCTGAATTTCAGGAAATCTTCAATCTTTTGAATGAGAAACAATAGTTAACATATTTTACATATACCTGTGACAAGACATTTCTAAATACTCAATATATGTATGATTTTTGACTCCATGCCAGTGACCTTATAGTTTGACCTACTGTTTATAAATTAAACATTACATTTTATTAGTCGTAACTTTAGAAAAAGAAAAAAAGCGGATTTTTTTTTTTTTTTTTTTGAAAACATGACAATTAAACGTAACGAGACCCTTCTAAATATGAATGACCCTGTAACACCAAACTCGAAGTTTAACATACATTTTAAAAATGATATATTTCCATGTAGCTTTTGATCGAGGTGAGATGGAGCTTACATGGTCGACACGTGCATTACTTGTGATAAGATGTTTCCGAGCATGCCATTATTTATTTACCTTTATGATAGACATTTTCGCTCATTAATTTTATCCTGCAACCACTCCCTCCATTAACATATTAAAGTTAAAATAATTAAACCAAAGCTACGATTGGTCAATTCTCTTATAAAGCCATGTGCTAATTAATTGACCTTGACCTTTCGATGTCAGTAAGCACTCCTTTGCTATGATCCATTCAAAACTTAGATGATATTGATTGGGAAACGCATCAGGTAGATACTGATTCTCCGCTAGGAACTGCCTTTCCACTCATTTCATATTCAGTTCTGCATAAAGTTCTTCGAAAAAATTTATAAATATTTCTAATTCCTCGTTGTAAATAGGTTTTGATAACAACCTTATGTTAGCATGCTTTTAAAGCAAAAACAAAGTGTTCGTCGAGCCACAATGTAACTCAAATTTCAAATGTATGACATTTGAAAGAAATTCAAATAAGATTACGATTGATTCGGCAAGATGGTCGAACACCGTTGAAGGCAGAGCTTAGTGTACGTCTGTACCAATCGCATCATCTCGGGTCTTTCCGTCAGAGGTCGGAAAAACAACCTCGAATGTATTAACATCACCGGATGTTCAAAATTTATACATTTCCTGTTTATTCAAATATAGGATAGACTGAGTTAGAAGTCCCTTCTATGGTATGTTTTAGGTAATATCATTACATTGAATAAAGTCAAACTCCATATTCCACAGATAAAAGGTATCCATGCATTTATTTCAAAGATCGTGAAAAGGGAGGGTTGTAATGGCGTCTACCATATACATTCGAGATCGTTTTTCCGCTAGTCGGAAAGGCCCGAGAAGCTCCGATTGCGTCTGTACGAGCCATCCGAATATTTCGACGCCAATCAGCAATGAAAATGAAATGAGACTGCAAAGTTTTAAAGCAAGATTTTAACGTGTTTTAAAATGTTGCCTGAAGAAAGTATTATAAATAAATGCATTTAATCATAATGGAGCAAGCCACACTTGTCTATACAAGCATGTTTGTTTGTATGTATAACGCGCCTCTCGAAAATGTTTCAATCATATGGAAACACTACCATTTGCAATTGGAGGGCTGCAATTCTTTTTTCTTTCACTCAGCACTCACGACCATTGATCAGGGGGGATCTTTTTCCTGCCAGCACCTACTGCGACACGGAACCTAGGTTTATACGGTCTCATCTGAAGGACCGCTCTCCACGTCTTACGATGGGAATCCACGACGTACGGATCAACCCTATGCATGTAAATTAAAACATTAAAGCAGATTTGTATAATCCGGCTTACTGTTTTAATTTCATGCGTACAGTTGATCAGATAAGAACGCCAACATCAAGTAATTTGTCTTGCAAAAGTTTAATGTAGGCTATTTCTTCAAGGTTCGCTGACCCCATGTTAGATCTCTGATATAACTTTTTGCCTTTCATGAGTATCCAGCACACACCGTGACCTACCAATCAATACAGTCAATGGTGTCCAGAACATTACAGGTTTCCATCAATTCAAATAATCAAAGGATGAGACTTCAAATATTTTAATTGCTCTTGTAATGGGAAATGATCAATATATGACAGTAGTCTAATAAAACAAAATAGTTCACTATTATTAAAATCTTTGGATATAATAAAAATGTCAAAGATACTTGCATTTGACGTCCGAAGATCGAAAGATGGTTATCATAACCAAATAGTGCTTAAAGGATTTCTTGTAAGGTATATGAGAAAAATGCAGTGCTTTATTTACGTACTTTGTGTTCTTTCAACATTTTCTGTGCAAAATATTTGTCTAAGCTCAGAATTCAAGGAAATCGTACTTCAACGAGACCCTTCATACGACGGCTGGACCGACACGCAATACTATCTGACAACTAAAGCGGAAATCACTCATCTCTCGTGTTTTGTTCATTGTTTAATGTACTCACCGGAGTGCGTTAGTATTTTGTATGATGAAAACCTGCGTTCGTGTCGGCTTCTTCAAGTCCACCTAGACGTAAAATTGGTAAACAGTTATAACAACACAACTGATGCTTCAGTATACTGGGCAAATTATCAAGGTATTTTTTCTTTTGTTCGTATCAAAAGATACTAGATTTAATGATTGTATAATGTTTAACGTCCCTCTTGAGAAATTTTAATCATTGAGACGCCACCACTTGCCATCTTCGAGTCTTTGTCTGGAAATGATAGCCTATAAATTTTCGTTTAAAGGGAAATAACTCAAAAGCGGAAGTGAATTTTTGGAATGCTAGACTAAATTCTGATAGAGTTTGTAGTCTGGTCCTGATTTTTAAAAAGAAGGCTAGAAATAACTTCTAACGACAAATAATTATTATTTGGTCCAGCATACTTTTTCAACCTATTTCGAGTATGCTAAATTCGAAAAAAATATGCTGGACTTCATGAAAATGGTGTTAAAGGGGTCAAAATGGCGATTCAAAATGGCAGACATCCAATTTTTCCAATTTTCTCATAACATTGTTCAAAATGGAGAAGTAATGTGTGAATATCTCACTGAGTGTAATACAGCTTTAAAAAGGATAATAGAATGCTCAGCTTTTTAGTTTAATTCAGAAAAGTCGTTTCTACACTTAATTCGAATTTTCTCTGATTTATTTGTCTATTGTTTCTATACTCTGCTTTGGTCAAGATTTTTCATTTGCAAATATCAACACACTGCAGATTTGTATTTTTACCTCTGCAGCTCACAATTCTACAATTCAATGACAGTGCAGCTGTAAGTTAAAAGTCAAATTGGCGATTCAAAATGACGGATATTCATTATTTTAAAAAATCCTTTCTTTATGTCGTTTACATATAGGATTTGTGAATATTGAACTAAGCGTAGTACAACTTTGTAAAATGACAATAGAACACTAAATATTATCACTTTAATTCGGAAAATTTGGCTGTTTAAATTTGAAATGTGTTAATTAGCTTAAAATGGCGATTAAAAATGACGTCATATATACTCGATTTTCGTAAAATACTGAAACTGCTTAATTCTGAGTCGTTTTGCAGAAAATCAATTACAATTTGTTTTTTTATTAATGAAATAATATTCAAATATGCAATGAAAGTTAATCAAAGATAATATTTTTTAATTACTTATGATTTTTAGGACACGGATCTTTGTTTAATTACTTCTATTATTATTCAATATTGATTAACTTTTGACAAAAATTCCGAAGACATTTTACCTATTACATGTCCCACCATGCTTCTTCATATAAAATGTTAATAATATCATACAATAATTGCTGTTTAGAGGACAATACAAGTAAGCTACCACAAGAGCAGTATTCCCCGAGCATAAAGGCGAGTAAACATTGTAGTTCGAGGGTTGCTAAATCATATCAGTTGTTAGAAATTCTTGATCTATTTTAGTCCAGTGTAAAAAAAAATGTTTAATATAATGTTCATGTAGAAGGTCTAGTGCAACATAACTTACTATGATTTTTAGAATGATGGACCACAACCAATTAGAGAGTTAGGAATTGTTACATCATATAAATCTGAATAATTATGATATCCAAATATCAACAAATTTACTAAGAATTAATTATTAGTGTAATAAACGTAAACCATATGTTGTTCTTGATTGTCCAGCTCTGATTTCGTGTCCCTGCATTAGTATATTTGCATTTTG